TTTTTGAAAATATATCAACTGCATTATCTATAAATCAATTTTACCTGATTCATCACTTATTATAGTCCATACTTCAATCATGGAATACCATTAATAATCATTACTTTTATACAGGTATACGATATATTTACTAATTAATATTATCTTAAATTATAATATATTTTTTTTTATTACTTGCTTATCACCTCAAGTTGTGTTCTATTTATTAAGCTACAATAAATTATTTTCGATTCTTGAGCAATTTGCGGTAATTTTATATTTTTAGCCGCACCACCCATTTATTATTTTTTTTAGTCATATTTTGCCCAAATTAAAAGATTTATGTAAACAAGCGTCACAAAAAAAATAAATTTTAATTTAGGTAGAATGAGGTACTTAACTAATATATTAACACAATACGCAGAATAGTTGAATTTATGATAAAACAATGTTCTACTTCTATGTCATAGAATCTATGATAATATATTGGGTAAACATTTTATCAACCATGAGTAATAACATACACTCAATAAACGAGTTAAAACATATTTAAGGAACACTACGGGTTAGGTAATTTTTAAAACAAATTGTACACTTACTGTTGGTTATAATGTCCTTAAATTTGTCTTTAGAATCGTCCTAATGGACTTGCATGCTGTCAGTCCACAAAAATATAACCATCACACTTGCTAAGGTGCTTGCATTGTCGTCAAGAAAATTGGACTTTGTTTTATAGTTAATAAACAACAATTTTTACACATTACGACATGTGTTTATGTCTATTAAAATCTTTATATCCCCCCACCCCCACCCATGAAAAAATCCTAGATAAGCTACTGACACCCCCCCCCATGTAAATACGCTACTGTATACAGTATACAACAGGTAGGTAAGTACACAGGCGTGCGCAGACTTAAATCGCAAATGCAGCAATACAGAATAGAGCGACCGATTTTTTTTACATTAGGCCTAATTCATTTTGAAAATTATTAACTGTATTATACACAGGTATAATACAGTCAGTAATCAGTATAGAGATTAGAGGCTGTATTAATACAATGGCTATTGGCTATAATATTATAATTCGTAATTTTAACTATAGGTGCCTATTAGTTGTAAGGTAGGTATAACTATTTGAAAAACTAAAAATCAAAAATTGATTTAGATCCGTTTTATTTACGTATATTGAAATATTGAATAACGACCAGTCGACAGCCACCATTGACTAGATTGTGGCTATAATTTGCACTGCCACGGTTTGCGGGCTAACCTATCAACCCAAGAAATGTTGCAGATGCAGCACATGAACCTTCTGTTGCACCCTTGAGCACGCCTGTCTATGAGTAGGTATACTAATATAGCCTACGTGACTGTTCTTTGAATTCAAATTTAACACATTTATTACAGTGGCCCTCCCAAAGTTAAATTTAAGTGACTTTAAATGGTCATAAATTGACATTTATAGGGAAGGAGTGGTGGAGAAAATAATAAGTACCGGGGCGCAGGCCCCAGATATAGATAATGTATTTTTCATAGGTACCTATAGCTAATATAATAAAAATTATAATTGTAGCATTTGATGTAGCATTCACTTACCAAACGGTGGGTTATAATTTAAACTATACATCATGGTATAATACAAAGTGACCCGAAAAACTAAATTAGGTACTTTAGTTTTAATCAATATTAAAATTTGTTTTTCATATATAATTATTAATTTTTAGATGCTTGCAAGTTGCAGCAATACAAGTACCTATGGTAAAAGATTATTTATTTTATTTTTCAATATTTGAAATAAAAAACCTAAGTTTTATTAAATTTTTATTGGATAATTCAAAATAGCCAATTTCTAAATATAATTTTTTTCAAATGTTGATGGTAAAAACATTTATTTAAGTCAGAAGTTGAATTTTTTACAATTTTTTCAAATATAAATATTTTTTTTGGTACCTAAATTCATTTTAAATGCAATAAATCCGCTAAAAAATAGCAATGGTAACTGGTGCAAAACAGATAAAGAACAAGCAGATACTTTTTGTTCACTTCACACTTTTTGAAAGTCTTAATGGAAGGTTTCATTAATTAGGTATCTTATTCCCGAAACCTGGCAAACCCCCGGATATTCCATCATCATATCGACCGATAAGCCTTCTCCCTTTCTTTGCGAAACTATGCGAAAAATTAATCATCAAACGTTTATCACAAATCGTTAACGACAAAAATATAATTCCTCATACCCAATTCGGCTTTCGCAACAAGCACTCCACCATACACCAAATTCATCGCCTAACCTAAAGAAACTTTACTGCTCCGCAGTCCTGCTCGACGTTGCTCAAGCCTTCGACAAAGTCTCTCACACCGGACTTCTGTTTAAACTAAAACAATTTCTTCCTTCTCCCTACTTCTTATTTTTCAAATCGTATCTGGACAATCGTCATTTTGTAACTAAAGTAGGCTCCGAGTTCTCAAACCTAGCACCCGTCCTGACTGGTGTACCCCAAGGTGCCATTTCGTCTCCAATTCTCTACAACATTTACGTAACTGACCAACCAATTTTCCTCATACCTCAGTAGCTGAATTTGCTGATGATAAAATCATCTTTACTTCTAATGAAAGCCCTTTTGTCGCCTGCCAACATCTGAAAAATCATCTAAATGACATGGAATTATGGTATACAAACTGGAAAATAAAAATAAACAATGAAAAGTCTTCACATATAACCTTTACCCTCAGACAAGGAGCTGTCCCTTCGGTCTCCCCGGAAAACAAAATTATACCACCTGTTACCAAGGTCAAATACCTAGGTCTACTCATGGACAAACGCTTAACTTGGGCCGAGCATATTAAACAAAACGCCTTTGCTGAACTCCAGACGAAAATGTCTGTACCCACAAGTAAGCAAACAGACTTGAAAAAGTCCAAACTAAACCTTAATAATAAACTATTGCTTTACGAAACCCTCCTGAAGCCGATTTGGGCTTATGATATCCAATTATGGGGAGCTGCAAAAAAATCGAATATTTACAAAATGCAAATGTTTCAATCAATATCACTTCGTATAATTACCAACGCTCCCTTCTACGTTACAAACCATACTCTACATTCAGATCTCGGACTACCAACTGTAGCCGACGTGGCCACATCCTCCTACAAGCGCCACCGCTCTCGCCTTACCAACCACCCCAATCCGCTTATTCTCGCTCTCAACTCCGCTAACATTCCTGGTAATCCACCGAGAATATTAAAGAGACGCTGGTGTTGTGATTTAACTAACTAGCACTTAAATAACAATAAAATATTAAAAAAAAAAAAACTCAACATATTATGTGTATGTATATAATGTAAAATAGCCAAACAAATATCACGTCGAGTGTTGCTGCTGGGTAGCTACTCCCCTCACGATTTCTCAGTCAACTTGTACATTTTTCGCTCATATGTTTATTGTAACTACCTACTATTGCAGATTGTATATATTCTAATAAATGTTAAAAAAAAAAAAAATATGCAATAAATGTTTTCAAAATATTCTTTTTGGGAATTTTCAGCCATGAGTAAATCTTAAATTATTTATCATCTATACATTTTTTATACCTATATTTTTTCATACGTTTTTATCAATTTTAATTTGTCAGGTTTTTCTGTTACATACTGTACACCTATCACAATATTATTCATATTATAATAATATGTACCTACCTGATCACAATCATAGTGCACTAATATCACTGATAAAATTTAGTATTGCTGTATGGCATATGCTAAACTATTCTTTATAGCGGTGGTTCCTAATGTTTGTTCTGAGAGTCGATATAGGGATCCATGGTTGGTACTTGACCGGACGACTGAAGTGTGGGCATTCGTTCATGATGTCTATAAAACGCAGATGGAAGAATTTTTTCCGTCATTTCATGTTAAATTTTAAAGTATACACTGGCAGAAAGTTGGGAACTTCTATAAGCATAGGTTAGGTATATAAAATAATAAATTCAAAGTCCAATAAAAGTTTTTGCTAGTTGAGTCCATAACCCCCAAACGTATTTTAGATTTTTGAGTGAAGCAATGAACGTAAATGTTACAGATTTTAAAATAATGAGATATTTTTTATTTTTTATGAAATTTCGTAGTCATTATGTTTCAAAAGTTATATGTAACACTTTCATAAATAAAAGATACATTATTATTTATATGGCTTCTAAATGAGGTAATTCATCAATATCCTATAAAAAATGGATTTTACACTCTAAAACAAAATGTTGATGTACTAGTTATACTCATACATTCAATAGTTCAATATTTATACAAATTAGAAGTTTAGTACATTTTTGTAACAATTATTAACAATACACAAATTATATTTTATCTACAAATCACCATAAGAGAGTTAATAAATTTGAAATAGAACTTAAATAATAATCAAGTAAAAAGTTGTTTTTATATTAATTATAAATGTGTTATGAATTATAAAAATAGTTGAGGGGGACGGAGTGGCCGAGCTGTCTAACGCGTCGGCTGCGCAGGCACAATTCCACGGTCATGGGCGGTATTTTTCTTCGGGCAAGTCACGGTGTCCGGAGAACAAGTGCCGCCATCTCCCACCCGGGCATAGCAGATACCTACGGGTGCCCAATCTAAAATTCTGCCAAACCCAACACACACGTGTTCCTCCCCCTACCGACATAAAACCACTACATATTTAATGCTAATATCTAATGGACTTCCTTATTTAGTCATAACAAATATTATTCAGTTAAGTTTATTTTTAGTGCCATTAATAATTATATTCAATAATATGTATAAATCAAATCAGAAAATCTCAACACAAAGGATGAAGACAAATAGGAAAATATTATGCCTTTCAAAAATGATATTCACTAATATTGATTTAAAAATGCCAAATTTTATTCATTTTTTAATATGACAAATTTTTATGTTAAAGTATAACTACAGTATTGCCATAAAAATCAACTGTATAGAAAAGTCTATCCTACTTAAATAATAAGAGAAACAACAAATATATATTATTACAATGGTGCGCATCGAGCCATTAAATCAGCAGGTAGTTTGGAAGTTAGGAATTCTAGCTCTTTTCTTCCACCAGATTTTTGTAACCATCTTTTTTCTTCATAATAATCTAACATGTTATTAAATTCTACAGTAGAAAGTTCAGGAACCATCACTGGAATAAATGGATCTATATGTTCAAATCCCTGAAAAAATATGGTAACATTATAAATATACAATAATAGATAATATAGAAGAGAAAATTTATGTTTTAATAAACAATTTCTTACATTCAAACAAGCAACAAGTATTTAAGAAACTGAGAAAAACAAAAAATATATTGGTGGCTGGTGTTACAATGTTAAATGTTTTATTTATTTTTAATATTTTTGGAGGATTACTTTTTGAGCAGAAATGCAACTGTCTATTGATTGGAAATTGTGTCTAGTTTAAAATTTCTCAGTTAGGACTAACTAAAAATCAATGTTAAATTAATATCATAATTTACTCAAAATTAGAGATGGGCACTGTTAAGAGGATGCCACACCCACATGTGTTGTCTCCGTCTTAAAAACGCTTAACATACCAAATTTAAGCTCAGAAATTCAAGATTTATGCAATTAGCCTAAAAGTTAGAGTGAATCGACCTATTATGAAACTTGATGGTAAGAACATTATAATATGTGTTTTGTTGGAAGTTTTTTTACGATAATTAAGTTTTTAAGTGAGTTATGAGTGTATTATAAATGTAAATTAAAAATGCTCATAACTCACTTAAAAACCGAATTATTGTAAAAAAATCACTTCCAACAAAGCACAGATAATGTTCTTACCATCAAGTTTCATAATAGGTCGATTCACTCTAATTTTTAAGCTAACAGCATAAGACTTGAATTTCTGAGGGTAAATTTGGTATGTTACACGTTTGTAAGACGGAGATAACCATGCTTGTATGGCGTCCTCTTAATATTATATTTTAACTACCAAATAGGCAGAATATGATTTGAATTAACAATTATTTAAACTATTCAATACTCAAATATTATGAAATACTATTCAATAACTTAATTTACTTTGGTCATTTTTAAACAATCAAAAATATTGAATGTCATGTGGTTTTTCAATTAAAAAATACTGCAAATCATTAATACTCAAAATTGTTTATATTTTTTAATGGAATAATTTATCATTATTATTTATAATCTAAAATTGCAGTATAAGAATAATTTCTAACTTTTGTTTCAGTACTGTTATAACAAATGATAAATAATTAAAATTCTTCTTATAGATAGTGTTTTATTAGTAAAAATGTTTAATTTAATATAATAATTAAAACAATTACAAAAAAATAATAAAAACAAGACATTGACTTACTTGTCGGCCAATGAGGTAAATGGGTAAATGAGACTCTCTTTTTGTGTTTAAAGCAGCTCTAGGTGATGTGACCATAACTATTGCACCGTTATTCTAGAATAACAAATGGCACAATTAATTATTTAGCGTATTAAAATAGCAAATGCATCCTATAATTTTTATTTTATATTCAACATAGTATACATTACCCAATCAGAAAGAACAGCTGATAATCCTGTTTGGACCATAGTGATTTGTTGTGGAGTTACTTTAACCCTGTCTTCTGTTTTCAAGTCGGTTTTTTCATTGAAGAATGCATTAAATCCATCTATTGCTACTAACATTTTGCATCTAAAATTATAATTATTGTAAATGTATAATCTATTTATAGATCTGTAAGATATGATTATTCAATGAACTATAAAAATTATTGGTTTTTTTATAAAATAATTGATTTATATGCACGAGTAACCACACATGACAAAATTACAATCAAAGTAATATTATTATTTTTAGTTGACGAAACCACTAAAAGCAATATTTTTAACCGATCTCTCAAATTACGTAATAACTAAAATACTTTAAATTGAGATTCAATATTTTTTTTTCAAACTTTCTTATTAAAAAATTAATAAAATGATGCAGTATTTATTAAAATAAATTAGAAAATTATAGAATAACTATGTTCAAAGAAACATTAGAATATAAATTAAAAAAAAAAAAAATTAATTGATAATCAACATTTCGTTTACACTTGACAACTAATATTTTATAAATGATGTACCTATTTACAAATTTGAAATTGAGATTACTAGCTTTTTTATTTTAATAATGAAAACCGCATGGGCTTTTTATTATATTTTAATTTTAAAGCGAGTTATGAGTATTTTAAAATTATAAATTGTTTGTAAGTCTTGAAATACTCATAAGTCGCTTTAAAATTAAAATATAATAAAAGCCTAGGTGGTTTCCTTGATAATAATCTTACATTTAGATTTCACAAGAGGTCAATTCCCTCTTAATATTAAATTTCTTATTTTCTTAAGAAAAAGTTTTAACTTATATTAAACAATTTATTTTAACTTGTGTAACTTTGAATTTAAAAATTTAAGTTTCAAGCTCAACTACTTTAATTCCCTATTTCACATGTAATAACTGTTGAATTATATTAACTATACATTTTATACACTATATCATACACTATAAGATTTATTATCAGTTAAACCATGATATTATATTAATAAGGTAAACTTACTTATTATTTGAACAGTGAGCTTTTAACTCATTCAGAAGTATATCCATGCAGTCACATGCATATTTAGCTCTATTTATGCCATGTGTAACTAATTCATTTAGTGTAGTTCCTTTGGGTGTAGTTTCTCGTTGACTCCAAACATAATCTTGACTTGTAGTAAGCTAATGAAAAAAAAAATAATCCGTTCATAAAATAATATAGTTATATTCTTTAATAAAGTAGTTACATTGAGTTCATTTAATAAAGCTCCATTTTGATGCACAAAATGTTTTAACCACTGAGCTGCAATTAATGGTATGTCAGCCAAGCCATTCTTAGAAGAAGACCAGTTAACTTCTTTACGATCATATTTAAGCCATATTGGAACTAAAAAAAAGAATGTTTTGTTAGAAAAATGTTAAAAACTATAAAATATAAAACATCAATGTATATAGGTACCATAAGGGACGTGATATAAAATGAATTTTGAGCTATACGCATAATGGAGTATATGAGCAAGGCTGAGTGATTTACCACTACCAGTTTGGCCATCTATAAATTAACATAAGGACAATTTGTTTCAACATTCAATGTATTAAGAGTGAATTGGACATTGAAATTAGTATATCAAAAATTGACTCATACATAACATATTTTGATTATCATTAATTCATTTTTTTTTTAAACTTTTTATTGCATTTAAATGTATGTCAAATAGTTTATAAAATATTTTGTATAGGAATGAGAAAAAAGCATTTATGTGAATGTATAGACAATTGTTAATTTGACTTAGTAGTTTTTTTGTGAGTTTGCAATGTTATCAGGTGATTTAAGTACCTTACCTAATAATAATTTAATATTAATTTTTTTTTTTTTATGATAATCAGTTAATAGGTGTATTTTTAATTTTTAAAAATTGTTCCTTTTTTCCATGTTCGTTTATGGTTGTTCTTTTTTACCGATTACCATTAAGACTTAAGAGTAAGCACTAATAATAGAAACACAATTTTTAAAGGATACATAGTAAATATCGAATAGCTGGTTTCTGGAAATCGGTTGATTTCAAACCATTAATAATTTCCAACGCTGGCTTTCGTATCATCAACGCAGTTTCAGCAAACATATTTGTTTGCTCGATGAAAGGTTTTGGCAAACCACCAGTATGAAATATATTACTGACAGTTTTTGGATCTATGGTGTAAAATTTTGATATATCATGACCGTCATGGTCTTCCTAAGAATGGAAAATGTAATTAACAGACATTAACGATATAATATAGAATGGATATACTAATGTAAAATTTCAAACCGGGTTTTTCTTCTCTGTGCGTGCGGCTGTTGGAATCTGATACTGCGTTTCTTGTTTTACTGCCGCTGTAGCATAATTACAAAGCCGTCTGTATGCTTTCATTTTTATTCGTTTTCAAAAGTTCAAAAAACGAGCCGGTGTTTCTGTTTGATACTTTGATTTTCTTGTGCTTTTTTACATTTCATAATGATAATATTGATAACGACAAGAAATGATAATAAATCTGATAAACATATTGTTTTTAATTTTTATCAAGATGGATTCCACTTTGGCACTTTGGTTTTTAATTATTGAAAAATTGTTAATGGTTGATAGAAGTTTATTTCCGTGTAGCTAACAAATAAGACAGTTATTATTCATTAACATTTTAGTATGAAATATAAAAATCATCCTTTCATGTTGTAAGGAGGATTAGTCCGTGGCATAGACATATTAATATGGTCCGTGGTCATAAGTCATAATCATAAGTTGGCCATCGTGGCGAGGATATCAATATTACTCTGCCCCTCCTAATTCCTATATTCTAATTTTTCAAGTAACCATAGCACTATTAGCACTATTTTTTTTTAACTTTAGTGTTTTTTTGAACGTTTGTTTTAAAACGTTTTTGCTTGGATAATGTATTAATGAATTAATCATGTGAAATATTGTACAATATTGTTTTATTTTCTATAAGTTGTTACACAGACATATACACCAAAAATGTAAGTACCAGCTTCTGTCACTATTGTTAGTAGTTATATGCCTGCTACTTATATCAATAATAATATTATAAATATTAAGAAATGTTCACCATTAACATTAAAAATTAAAAATATTATTATGTATTATTAAGATTTTCATTAGTTCATTACTTATTTTTATAAGTAAAATAACTACAACTTAAATTTTAAAAAAAATCATAACAGTTATGATTTTTTTTTAAATTTACTGTTGAAAGATATTTGTGTTTCAGCGACTTTGAAAAATAATAGTATTAATATTTGAGTAGGTATACAAGATGTATTTATGGTATTGTTACACAATATGCCTACATTTAGGTTGATTAGTTTTATAATAAAATGCTGTTCTCAACTACTTAAACGGTTCTTGCAGTAGGTATTGTAAAATTTAGTAGGTTAAGTAGGTACTTAGATATTTTTAATTTTAATGAACAAGTTTTTTGTTATTTAGAAGGAATTTATTTTCTCAAGTCTAAATAACTATAGAGTTCCTAGTATTTATGGTTTTACTAGTAGGTATTCATGTTTACTGTTCTAAACTATTGAAGTAAAATTTAAATTTTTTTGTTATTTTAAATTTAAATTTATTTTTACTAATTTAAATTATTTACAAATATTTTAAGTACTGATTTTTTGTTATTTTTATTAGTTTTATATGTATCTTAAAGTATAGGTAGGTAGTACCTACTTTTTTCTAAATTGCATATGTCAAGACGTAGGTACCTAGGTTCCGTGAAATATTTAATCCCATCTTCCAGGATAATAATAAGATTATAAGTACCGAGTACTAGCTATAAATATTATTTTATTTTCCTGTTTCTTGCAGGACAATTTCTGTGATACCTAGTCAAAAAAAAAAAACATTAATTTAAGTCAAAAATTATAATAATATGTTGAATAATGAATGCTAAAGAACGTGCACGTAATAGATGGAAATTATTGGCAAATACAGTCAGTAAAAAATGTCAAGACCAGATATTTGCTTCACAAATAAGCTATGATCTCTTTAATATCGAATGCATCAATACAGAGTGGTCTAAATATTCTTCATGTGTTCAAAACAATAATTTCTCAGCAATTGTATGTCGATCTCCTATAATTGTTACGCCTGAGGAACTTATGGGCTTTAACAATACGGGGAATGTCCGTATATGGCCATCTGAAGAAGTATTAGCTTACTATGTACTATCAAATCTGGATTCATTCAGAGATAAGACTGTACTCGAGCTGGGCGGTGGTATGAGCTGTTTGGCTGGTATAATGGCTGCTCTGTATGGTTTTTGTAGTGATGTTCATTTGACTGATGGAAATCCGAATTCTGTATACAACGTTGAGCGTATACTTGAGAAAAATGTGTTCACAACCAAAGTAACTTGTTCGGTTAGTTATGATGAACATTACCTATTGTTATTAAAGTAATGACACCAATACATGTAGACTTGTTTGTTGTTCTTTGATATCTACATGTATTAATCTGATCTTTTTTCTATTACCTATTATTATTTCAATTTTTTGTTATTAACCTGATATATTTATTCATTGTTTGTAATTATTAGTACCTATTTTAATTTAATGATATTGGATTTGGATTAAATAAATCTAATCTATCATTTATTTTTCTCCTTTTTATTTTAAATTTAATTTTTAATTTTTATACTCACTGTTTGTTTGTGTTATTCAAATACCTAGTTGTAGTGGAACAATCTGAATTCTTTCTCGTTTATAAGCATGCTTTTGAAGACGTTTAGTAGCCTGAAATGAACAAGTCAATATTTGAATTTTCAATTTACCCTGGAACTAATCGTAACATTCGATGATTAGGTGTTGAAATGGGACCAAAGACCTGCAAACATTTGTCATTACGATGTTGTACTAGCCGCTGATTGCCTGTTTTTTGATGAAGCCCGTGACGATTTGGTGCATACTATTGCAGCATCATTGTCATTTGGTGGAGTTGCATTGGTTGCAGCACCAAAACGAGGGACTACTTTGTACGAGTTCATAAAAATGGCACAGCAAGAGGGTTTGATATGCACCGTACAACAAAACTACAATACTCTGGTATGGGAACGTCATTCTAAACAGGTTCTCTACAATCCATCATATGATGCTGATTCGCATTATCCATTGTTGATAAGTATTACCAAAGCGACCAAAATTATTGATTGCCAATTTCAATAAAATATTTAAGAAAAATATTAATCGTAAATAATATCAGATCTAACAATCCAGAATTGTCAGTAGATAAATACTTGACTATATATACTATATTAAAAAAATCACAATAATGATCAACTTCTGGGAATCAGTATGTTTTAAATGATATCTGCAATAGCGGATCCACAGGAGGTCAGAATTAGATCAATCATCTTTCTACTGTAGTGGAAAAATGAGTTTTGAGTTTGACTCTTCCATATTTTAGTAAAACAAAGGTTACATTTAGAAATGTATTCAAAAAATTCTGAAACATAATAATATAATAATATTCTTTCTTTTATCATCAACAACCCTTATACACAAACAGTGTTTTAATGGCTTGTAAGTGTTATAATTTTTGATTTATTTGTTTGTTAAATAACTATAAAATCTCCACTATAATTTTTGGGAGTTGGATCCATCCAAGGATTTTTGTATTTATAATTTAATAGTTCCATTTCAGTATTTATTTATAGATTTTATTATTATTATTATTTCTTAATATTATTCCTTAAGACTATTACCTACCTGACTACCTAATACCTATACAAAATGCAAAAACTTATAAACATTAATTTCCAAAACAAATGTTATAGGCATGCCATGCCTCAAATGTGAATCAAACTGAACTTGGTTATGTTTAAAATAGGGTAGATAGTATTATATTACCTATTTTTTGTTGATGAGTAGTTCCATTAGTTTAATTAAATTTAATAGGTTTTTATCCTAAACATGAATGTTAATATCAAATAGAGTTCCTAGAGCTTACTGATAAAATTTTTTAAACAGGGTGTTGGTTTATTCGAATTTTTTATTAAAACAAATCTAATTATACTTAATACATTTGTTACTCTCAAAGTTGCCAATAATTGAAATTTAATTTCATATTTCGTTGTAAATTGTTTTAAAGTATTTATCTCCATTGTTCCTCTACTATAGTTCTTTAATTAATACAATGATACCTATTGAATTTTCATATTTATATTAAATATTGTATTGTTTCATTGACTTGGTCTAGTCTTATTTGCATGTAATAATAACAACTATAATCAAAAATATTTATCTATAATTAGTAGGTAAATTAAAAGTACACATATTTCTTATATTATATTTATTACTATCTGTTTATTTATTGACACTTAATTACAATTTAAATAATATTTTTAGTTATGACTAAAGGAAAGAAAGTAATTTGGTGGGATTAATTTTGTTTAAAATAAATTCTAGTTGGCTTATTAGTTTTCAATAATTTATCACTGAAAGGTAGATATTATGTAGTATATTGTATTGGTACTTGTTTTGTAGCTAACCTACCACAACACCATTTGTGCTGAAATCAATTATAGCCACACTCCATGTGAATTGGTAATTGAATAAACAATTCAAAATTATTTTGGTCTATAAGGAATAAGACTGATAAGAAAACAAAATCAATGATAGGGTAGACTCAAATGATTGAATTTTAATAGAGACATTGTATTAAGTATGGAATAACATTTGGTAATGATTAATATATTATCTGTAATATAAAATTAAGTTAAAATTAAATAACCTTTCAATTTCTTAGTATATATTGAGCATATAGCATACAACAAATTTTAGTAAGTAGCATACAAGGCTAGTACCATAGTATTAAAACAATATTTATAAATTTGTCACATACCTTTTACCTACACTATTAATTATATTTAAATTTATGTTCCTATTTGTAATATATATTTTTCTTGCTTTATAACAGTAGACTGTGTGTACTAAATATTGTAAACAAATTTTAAATCTCTTAACATAGGTAAAATTCCTGTGAATATAATTTTATTATTATAGTAATTATAAACACCAATACATTAAACATATTGAATTTAATCATATACTTTAATATGGGTATATTATACGTTTATAAAATATATATTAATATAATGCTACTGCTATTATAAAACCTAGGGTCCAATCTAGAAATAAATATAACTTGACATACGTTTTAATATATTAATATTGTATTCTTTAGCTTTGTATAATAATAATATATAAAATATTGAATAGGTAATATATTTATATTATTGTTGTAGATAATTTGAAAAGACAATTATTTTTACACTGTTACCGTTTAATACATTCGTTTAACATTTCTAGTCTTGTTTAGTCATTATTCATATTGAATTAGTATTACTTTTAAAATAGAAGTGATTTATTTATTACGTATATTATTATTGATGCGTTTGTTAGCTTAGTTAATATATTATAAATATGTGATAACTGATAATTATTAAAGAAAAAAGTCTATCGTACCTACTTGGTAAATTTGTTCAATAATACCTATACTCAATAAATACCATAACATACATGTATTGTTTGTATTACTTGACTCATATTTTGCATACTTTTATTTTAGTGAAATTGTATGAATATAAATATTCATTCCAAATTTCAATTACTTTTCATGTTACTCAATACTATCTTAAACCATGTAATTTTGTAACTATATTATTTTAATAGGTTATATAAAATGTAATTGATTTATATTTTAGATTTAAAAAATAGACACAAATACACAATATTATAGTTTCTGTTTTAATTATCGATTTTGGATTATTTTTAGCGCATATATTATTATAACATAAGAAGTTAATGATAAAATCATGGTTACAGTTTTATTTAAAATAAATAGTAGTAATATTTAAAAAAAAATTTTGTTAGTAATCTGCCAATTCACGTAGAACTTTCAATGATTGACAACAGACCGTGGGTGTGCGGTATGCAGCATGAATTTCAATGTACGAGAGTTTATATTCGGTTACTGCTTTGACATGAGTGTAATATTAATCAAAGGAAGAACATCTCCAATCGGCTTTGATTGTTCATTGCCACGCCCTGTGCTTAAAAACCCATTGCCAGGACTAATACGTACCTACTGGCTACTGTATAAACTACAGATTACATATATACGGTACTATCCATGTGTAATATGCGGTGTCTCCGTCCGCAATGCCAGACTATAATATACTTGACCTGTTGATGTATCCCTCTGTAGTTTATATCTGACCACAAAATCTTAATGCTGCCCATTGTAAATGCTATTATACATACTCGTATTTTGTTTTCAGTTTGAAGTCACTAAAATAGTAAATATATATTTTTAATGTGGGTACAACTTACAAATGATAATATGGAATTTTTATTTGAATATTTTATTCAACATTTAAAATAATACAAGTGTACAAGGTTCTTTCTAAGACAAAAAAAAAAAAACGACTGTACACATTTATGCATAAAACTGTATATTATATTATATACCAGTGGTGCGACCAGGGATTTTTAGTGTGAATCCGATGCATTGAAATAACATTTTTTTTTTTATTTATATGCATTTATAAATATAATATAAAGTGGGATATAAAGTATAATTATAAATATTAATTATTACTTAATGTCTTAGGTTAATAATAAAAATCATAAGTACTAAATACTAATGCTATAAGGGGAGGGGAGTCTGGACCCAGAGTCAAACTCTTTCGGTGTGGTACTACTTTACTTATACATACGCATTGAGTAATATTAATATGTGAAAGAAGGCAAACCACAACTAGCATTAGCATTCTGGAGGAGATGGGCTAGATGAAGTTTTAAAAAAAAAATTAACTCGATCAATTTCATTAGAATATGTTATATATAAAAAATTCTAGTAGTCCCTACTCGTCTTGCCAATTAGCTAACTAAATAAATTAAAATGTGCTTTATTGACTGTATTATATTATACTTAAATCTGAAATAAAACAAACCATAATATTAAACATTTTATTTAGGTACTTGGAATCATTGAAATGCTTTAAAAAAAGTCAATTATTATTTAACTATAGTTACGTTGTTTATGTTATAGGTAAATTGTCTCGTTTGTCTCTGTGAATATTTATTACATTTTAGATTATGAGATGAGAACGATGATTGTATTGATTCAAAAATTAGATGTAGTTTTTTTTGTCTGTATACACCATAGTGTAGAAGAAAAAATGATCAATTTTGGTAGAGTTTTCTGATAGAAAATAAAAAATAATTGGTGCTTTTGTGAAGTTAAAACCAGTTTTTATACAATAATTGATTTTTTTAGATTCTGAGCGAAGCTAGGAAGTTAGTGATTTACAATGGTGTTTATTATTTTTTTTTTTTTATCCTATATACAAAATGTCTGCTAGAAGGAATGCTTCGATTTCAATATATAGTACTGCATTTTTTAGAAAATTGGATCAAGATGGTACTTTAAAGAGGTCATTTTTCGATTGTCTCTATAGATATTTAATGCCACGAGAAAACCACCGACAAATTACGAAAAACCGTTAAAATGGGATTTTAATTTCTAACGCTTTGTGTTCTCCATAGAAACGAATAAAAATTATAATATTATAATATTAATTCAACTTACAGGATATAATAAATAATATCAATATAAAATATCCAGACTGACAAACCGTCTCCGCTCAGAATCATTTTTCTTATATAATCATATTATATCATTGAATTCAAGTTTAATACAATTACCCACTTGTAACCTACTGTACAGTAGTGATATCCACTTACCCGCTTTTTTATTGGTGTTACTCAAAAATAAATAACTGTAGATATGTATTTGACTTTGATCATTTTATATACATGATACATTTTTAAAAATATTTTGACACTGAACTATGTATAGATATTTGACATTTTCTACTTTTTAGGGTTCCGTACTGTAAAACGGGACCCTATTACAAAGGCTCTGCTGTCCGTCCGTCTGTCATCAGGCTGTATCTCATAAACCATAAAAGTTAGAAAGTTGAAATTTTCACAGATTATGTATTTCTGTGGCCACTATTACAAGTACTAAAAATCTTAGAATATAATACAGTATAAGAAGTGTTGTTGCCAACATGTTTATAGATGATGGTACGGAACCTTCGTGCGAGAGTCCGACTAGCACTTGGCCGGTTTTTTTAGTTTTGTTCTATAAATAGTGA